CGTCAAACAAATCATAAATTATTTGAAAATTATTTAAACAATATTCTCCACAAAATACTTTTGTTTTGAAGCTATTAACTTAATTTTAGTTTTTTATTATTGCTTAGGCATTACTTACTTAACAGTATGGTTTTTATTATTTTATATTAAATTAAATGAGTTAAAAATTAGATGAAAAGATATTAAAAACGCTTTACCCCCTATGTTAATAAAAAAATATCTGGTTGATAGTAAATATAAGTATTCAGAGCAACCAGATATCAAAATAAATAATGTAAATAGCGAAAATGGTTAAAGTTTTGATAACTGTGTGGTAATACAAAGTCTAATACAGCGTAAAAGTTACATTAACATATTGAATATAATAAACTTTAGGAGTCATGGATATTTAAGCCCAATATAATACAAGTTTTTTATTAAATTAAAAAAATAATATATAAAAGTTTAAAAAGAATATTACCTCAGTATAGAAGATTAAAATTATGTATTACAAAATTAGAGATAAAATCTTACACACAGCGGCCAATCGATAAGTACTTTAGTGTTAATTTTAAACAAGAACGCAATAAAGAGAAGACCGAGAACAAAAAAAGGTAAAACTGTGATTAGCAGGAAGTACGAAATACTCGATGAAATACGGTATGACCAGAATGCATTTTCTTTCCAGCCAGCAATTATGACCCAAGCAAAAAAAAGTAGAACCTATAAATTAATTATATACAAATAACGTTAATATTTTATAATTTTAAAATGTTTTAAGATATATTTGTTGAAAATATTAACTCAAATATGTAAATGACAACTTTGAATTAAAAAGAGTAAAAGAGGGTCAAATAGAGTAGTTTTAGCGTTCCAACATTTTTTTTTTGTGGATATAGATAATTCGTCGCGTTGGTTTGACAAGGTTCTAACTAGAATTTTTTATATAGGAGAATTTAGAAAAAATCTTTTACCTTTTTTTTAATGTTTAATTAAAATTATTTATATGTATATATATTTTTATTTGTTTATGTATTCTTTTTTTCGTTGATGTATAAAAATATATAAATAAACAAATAAATAATTATATAAGTATTTTTATTTGGATAATTAAAAAAAAAAAAACAATTTATTTGCTATTCTCCTAATATTATAATATCATAAACTTTAATTTAATAAATTTATACTTAAAGAAAAAAAAGTTCATTTTACCCTTACATTCGAAACTTAAATGATAAAAGCAACCAACTATAACAATTTAAAAAAGTCAATTACAAAACTTTCTTTTTATCTCGTGGTGATGTTAAGTCGTCGAAAGGTTCTGGAAATCGAAATTAAGTTGTCATTTCAAGGTACAATAAAACTTGATATCTTTTACATATTGCTTTGTTACGCATGTTTGACGAACACGCATTGCGAAGATAGAAGTTGAACCTTATACTTTGATTTTTCTCACTGATAATATTCTTTTTTTTTGTCTTGTTATAATTTCTCTTTTATAAGCATTTTAGACAATTTTAGAAGCAGTTTAGACTTGACTTGGTATGCTACTGTTGTTGTTTCTTTTGTTAGAGTTGTTTTTGCTGTATCAAGAATTATTTTTTTTTATCATTAAATTCAAACTTACTTTGTTTCCTAGCTCGCTTTGGGATCGTCCATAAATTACGTCACGCATTTTTTGACAGATTTTGACCTCCCCCTTCCCTCTCGTCACAAAATCGTAACACTTAAGAAGCAAGTTTTGTATGAGTCGTCACAAAACTACCAACCCCCCTTCCCCCATATAGCGTGACGTAATTTATGGACGACCCCTTTGCTGGCATTTTATAATCAGCATCTTTTAATTTAATGATTATTTCAAACTTATTTAGATACTTCTTTTTGAATCTTGAAACATTTACATTTTTTTAATTTTTTAATTTTTTTTAAAATTTTGTGCTGGATGGTAAATATTTATTGCAAAGCTGAGGATAGCAATTGGGTTATTTGCGGTTGTTTTCGAACTTCTTTTTTGAATTTCTTTTCGAATACCTAAAGTTACGACAAGTTAAATTAGCTGAGTACTAATGATGCGAGATTCTTGTGGTTGACAAAGAACCTGGTGGTTGACAAAGACTCAGGCTGATTTGATAGTGTTTCAAACGTATTAGCAATTTGTAATTTAAGCTTACTAATATTATTGATGTTGAATAGAAACAAACCTAATTTTGACTAATTAAGTTCATGTAAAAATTTTACTAGAACTGTTAAGAATTTCTTACAGTTGACTAAAGCATATTTTTTATGAACTACTGAACTTGGTTTCTTGATAAAATTGTTGAAATACCTTACACCTAACCACTTAAAACAAACAAAAAATGTACGCGCCGGTATAGTATACTTCGATTTTTTCTTTACTTCCCTATAAAAATTTGATATAAAAATTGTGCCGCAGAGTAAAATATGCGTATGAAATTTTTACTCCCTTAATGAGTTTTTTACTCTAATTAGATATTTTTACGGTTATGTTAATATAGTGCTTAATTAATATATTTAATAAAAGTTAAACTTTTAATAATAACTTTTTTTATCTTAATTTATTTTCTACATTTTAGTGGGAGTAAAAATTCTTATGTTATTTTAAATAAATGGTGAAAGTATAAATTTTACAGATAATCTTTTTTAAATTTAAAGATCATAGAATATGCAAGTACTTGTTTGATCAAAATGTATACTTGTTTTATTAAAAAATGAAGGGGAATATCCAAAATTGTTTAATTTTACTATTAGGCTATCGTACTTGTTGCAAACTTGTTAGAAAAAGAGTTTTCTAAACAAGTTTACCTTGCCAACCTGCAGAATCTGAAAATCGCAGCTTTTTATTTCTTTCTGGCTTTTTTATTTAACGATTCACATCTGTAAAAAAAAATTTCTCTAAGGTTACCCTATGTATCAGATAGGGTTAAATTTTTTGTTAATTAAATATATATTGTTATATAGGTGAATTTCTGGATTCTTTGCTTTCGCTTTACTAATGTGGAATCAGTCAGGTGTATGAAAAAGTATTGCCACCAAATTTAAAAAGACAAACATTTTTATTCCTTCTCCTATATACCGTTGTAAATTTATTTTACAACGGTATTTTTACGTTTTTAAAACATTTATTTATAGACTTGAAATAAAAATATATTTAAAAAATATCTAAAAATTATGAAAAGAAGATGGTTTATAATTTTTTTTTTGATAATTTTTTATATTTTACAACAGTACAACATTAAAGTGACTTGCAGTTAAATTGTCAAGGAATATAACATGTTTACTAAGCAGTGTAAGTGTTAAACTACATGGGTAAGTCAGGCATTTCAATTTCTCTTCATATTTGCTATATACTTTTATATCAATACCCATGAACGAGGCACACCCGATTATTTCTGAATCAGTTGCACAAGTTGTGTTATCACTCATACCACTTTCATTTAGATTTTATTATTGATTGATTCATATATAAAGTCATTTCATCATTAATATGAGTACACATATGTTTAACAACTTTTTCTCTTATAATTTCATAACTGCATTCACTGCCTGTAATGATATACAATAATGCCCTAAAAAAGTAATTACCATCGCCTATGGTTTTGTGTGTTTTTTTCGGAGGCGAAAGTAGAATAATATCTGCAATAAAAATATTTTTGATAATAACAATTACAAATTTTTCAGAAATAGAAGTTCTCATTTCAATTGTTGCATATTTTCCAATTTTATCATTAGAAATTTGTATATTAATTTCATCAAATGTGATTTCTTGTTAATTATTAGTTTTTTTTTCATTATATAATCATATCTTTGTCAAGTTGTACTTTGTTTTCAAAATCTGACCCTTTAGATTTTTCAAAGTGCAGTTATTTGTGCTAGAAATAGAAGTTACAATGTATGGTCCAGTCCAAGGCTTACAAATTTACCACTTTTTCTATCATTACGTTTGCTATTTCTTAGTAACACTTTTTTATTTATGCTAATTTCTTTATTTGGTGCAATGATCTTGCCGTAATCTTTTTTAAGATTTTTCAATATTTTTATAAGGATTGTCAAAAATTTTGTTCTTCATTTTATTCATTGCATGAAAGGTATCTGAAACTATTTTTTTGTAGAGAAATCATCATTGCAAAGAGCGTTATCATCAATAAAGTCAATTAAATTGCAATCTATATCAATAGGAAGAACTCCTTTCCATTGGTAAAGCAATGCAAATGGTGAAAACCCAGTAGACTTGTGCTTTCTAACTCGAAAAAAAACAAAACACTAACAATAATGTATGTCCATTCCAGAGCAGTCTCATCAAGCACTTTTACTAATATACTTTTAATTGTTTGATTTTGTCTCTCTACTAATCCATTAGCTTGAGAATGATATGCACTCGTAACTATTTGAATTTTTCCTGTTTTTGAGAAAAGTTCTTTAGAAATTTCATTTATAAACTCACGACCCTAGTCATTTATTTGAAATTTAAAACAGCCATGTCGACATATCTGTTTATACAAAAAAAAAGCCACAGCTTCAGCAGTTTTATCGGTAAGTGCGTCTGCTTCAACCCATTTACTGAAGTAGTCGAATAATACAACCCCATATTTGCAACCGTTAACTTTGTTAGCTGTGTTAAATCGATTCCTACCTGCTTCATACTGCCTTTAGGAATTGAAATATTTTGCAGCAATGGTTTCGACTGAAGTTTTCTGTTCTTTGATTTTTGGGATTAGTCAATTTTGGAAATCTAATATTTTTTATCATTCATTGCAGAAAAATCTACTTTGAATGTGATAGGTTGTGTTATTAATACCTGTATGACCAGAAAAAACTTTAGACTCAACAGAGATATCGTTTCCTTCATGAGCAAAATTTATCATGTTTTGTTGTTCATCTCTACTCCAAATAACTTTTCTCTAAAAAAAAAAGATGCTGTAAGCGATCAATATAATGAGAATTAAAACTAAATTAATTTTCATTACTTATTAGACATATAATTTGTAAATATTCGTGTTTATTTGGTGACTAGATTCTAGTTGTAAAATGACAAAACTATTAAAACATTTTGAAATAATAGCATACCTTTGCAGCTTTATTTAAATGATATAACTCAATATTATCAACCATAATTGGCTTAGTTTGTCTTCTAACATTGGCTTTATCGCCTTTATTTAAAACTTCTTTTGGATATATTTTGCATTTTAAGTAACTAAAAATATCTGCAAATCTGGAGTGCATGTCTTGTTGATATGCAGTTCCGCTAATAACAACTTGATATGCAGTTCCGCTAATAACAACTTGATATGCAATTCCGCTAATAACAACTTGATATGCAATTCCGCTAATAACAACTTGATATGCAATTCCGCTAATAACAACTTGATATGCAATTCCGCTAATAACAACTTGATATGCAATTCCGCTAATAACAACTTGATATGCAATTCCGCTAATAACAACTTGATATGCAATTCCGCTAATAACAACTTGATATGCAATTCCGCTAATAACAACTTGATATGCAATTCCGCTAATAACAACTTGATATGCAATTCCGCTAATAACAACTTGATATGCAATTCCGCTAATAACAACTTGATATGCAATTCCGCTAATAACAACTTGATATGCAATTCCGCTAATAACAACTTGATATGCAATTCCGCTAATAATAACTTGATATGCAATTCCGCTAATAACAACTTGATATGCAATTCCGCTTATAACAACCTGGGAGTAAAAATAAAATAGTAAGAGTAAAAATCTCATTTGCTTTTTTTACTCCGCGGTAAAAACTTCATACGATATATTTACTAGGGAGTAAAAAAATCACGGGAGTAAAAATGTCATACTACACCGGGTAAAAGTGCCCTTTTTAAGGGTTTAAATTTTTAAGGATTCAACCTCCCCTAATTTTATTGTTGAATCGCCTCTGGTAGCAATATAAAAAAATCTAAACAATAAACATGAATTCTATTTTTTTTTTTTTTATTTAATCAACTACACGATTTTTTTGTATCAAACAACGAAACCATTGATCTCGACATAAAAATTGCCCATATAAACCGATCTCTCGTTTCTAATCAATATATCAAATTAGCTACATTGTTCACAACTTTAACGCAGCGTTCAATAATTTGTACGCTCGGGTAGGCATTAGTTGTAAAAGTAGGCATTAATTGTCAGAGAAACTTTAATAATTGATAGGATCTGTCATTTTTAAAATCGTGTTTTACAAAAGAACAGTAAGTGGTTATTTAAGTCAATTACTGGTACTTGATGTTGTTTAATCCTATAGCTTATCTTTAAGAGTTGGTTTTTTAATTATAGTACATTGTTGAGATCAGTCATCATTTATAAAATTTTTTTTGGTGTGAGCAAACGCGGAGTCCGTTTATTGAAAGATTTAACAACATCAGCAACTTATTGAAGGTAAATGTTTCATTAATTCTGAAACTAGAAACATATTATGGTCCATTAAAGTAGTCTAAACTTAATAGAATACCAACTTGGTCCTTAATGAAAGGTAAATAAATTGAGTTATTAACTTTATGTTTTCCTCCGGTTTTATTGTGGATACGTAAAGTCAGGGCCGCTGAGAGCCGTCATACCGCTTGAGACAGCAACCCTGATTGTCGCCTTTGATTATCGAAACTTTCCTATATTATAGATGAAGGACCTTATTTTGTTTGTACCTTCTTTTTATTTGGCGCCCCCTTTTTATTTGTCCTTTCTTCTCGACGGCCCTGCGTAAAGTTTGTTTGTGTGCAAAAGGCAAATCGTAGCGGGCGTCCTAACGCCCTAGCTTTCTCCAAGTTTTGTATTACTCTTCTTTTAGAACCTGAGTTTACACTAGTGCTTTTACAATCCACAACTAAAATATCTGAAGTTACATCCGTTTTGTTATTTTTTAACAATATGAGGTTTGCAATGGGTTTGCTTTTCATAGAATTCGGTAAAACATTTAATTTGGTGCAATAAACAGATAAGGCATTTTCTTAGTGCCTATATACATGCTTTTCCTGGTTAAAATGTAATCCTTTCTACCATCAAAATACAGTGAAGCAAATAATAAGATATCAGTACATGTATTATCATTTTATTGATTTTTACTTCTATCCTTTCTCTTCTTAATTTGTTTTTATTAATTACTTTATCTTGGTCTGCATTTGTCACAAAGCTGAAATCCGTTAATATTGCTGTGGTCATATCTGTCAGACTCTTTTACTAGATTTACAATGCATACCCTCATCTGTATACCAGCTTCTTAACTTGAACTATCTGAATCTGATTCGTCTGTCTCCAGCTGTCTTTTTACACTTGCGTCATTTCTAAATTTGTTGTCGTGTTGAAAGTCATTTTCAGGTTCATGATCACTAGATAATTCTACATATTGGCTGATGTTGAGAGTTGATTTAAAACAATGGTTTTTTTTGTAGTTGATTCCATTTTTATTAACTGTTTTACACTGAAAAAAAAATTTTTGTAAGTGAGACATTAAAAAATTGAATTCATTAATATATTAGTTAACTATATGAGTTATATTCTTGGTTAAATAGTGTATGTATATATATATATATATATATATATATATATATATATATATATATATATATATATATATATTTTTAAATATATATATATATCGAAAAACAAAAGCATAACCATTGTTAATGAAACGGTTGCGTTTTTATTTGTTATAATTTTTTTCGCACTAGTTACTTTCACTTATATGAAGGCAGAACACTATAGTTTTAATTGCAAATATTTATAGTAAAAACTGTTTTTACCCCAGTCTATTATTTAGTGAATGCAGAATGGTAAAGAATGAGCTGGTAAGCAAATTAACAAGATATTGCTTTCGACCCTAGCGTCAAGCGCCATCTACAACCAAAATATGAACACCTATGTTCAATAAACATAATTAAATAAACATTTGACTAAATAATTTAAAGAAATTTATTAAAATAATATTTAAACCAATTATTATATACTTTATTATATTACGATAGTTAAACTAATAATTAAACTGATTGTAATATATTTTATTATAAAGTGATAATTAAACTAATAATTAAATTAATAATTAAATTAATTAAATTGGTATATAAATTTTTTTTACCACCGTTTACCGTTAAAAAACATAATATTGGCCTTAGTGTTTTACAGGGTTATTCATTCTTATATGCGCGTCTATTGATTTTTATATGCGCCTTTATTCATTCTTATATGCGCATTTATTCATTTTTATATGCGCCTTTATTCATTCTTAAATGCGCATTTATTCATTTTTATATGCGTTTCTATTCATTCTTATATGCGTTTTACAAAAGCAGTTTATTAGACAGACTTTTTACATTCGACGACGGTTTATTTAATTTAGTATTAGTTATTTGTTTTCGATGATAGCTTATTTAATTTAGTATTAGTTCTTTGTAATTTTATTATTAAATTTCTTGATTGATTATTTATCTATCATCAATATTTAATAGCTGTAATACTTAATAGCTATTCCATGAGAGCCTAGTGTTTGCCTATAGAAAGACTCCAGTAGAATTTACAATTGTCCATAACAAGCACCACCGCTTCAACCTTTGCATTCCTAATCGCTCGTGTCATCATTGTAGTTATGAAAGTACAAAATGAATCTGCAATTCAGCCTCCAGTTTTTATTTCATAAGCAAGCACTCCCATTGTTGAAACAGCACAAATTAAACTAACATTTTTATCACGATTTGCAGGTGACTGTAAAATTGCTAGCGTACCTCCTAGCAAACAACCATTTGTGCTGTTAATGTGCACATTAAATCCAGTTTCATCCAAATAAATAAGTTTTTCACCTGAAGTTCCGTTTATTTCGCTTGCAAATGCATAGCGTGCATTAATAACTGATGTTGAGTTTCGTTCTTCGGCACATGCATAACACGTTTTCTTGATAAATCTGAGCGTTTGAGTTTTCTTGAAATAGTTGACTGAGACATGTTAAAGCCTGCTGCAGAATGATATTTTTTTATTGCTTCTTGCGTGCAAAGATTGTTTTCTTGTACGCATAATTCAATAATATTTTTTATTTGAGAATTTATACGTTGTTTATCTCGTTTTTCATCAGAAAACGACTTGAATGCAGTCATATCGTCGAACTATCCTCTGTTTATCTTAACGACAAAATCTTGAACTGGGCGCTTCGATAAATTAAGAGAAGTGGAAATGGTTGTTGTAGATTGATTTCTTTCAATTAAATGCTTAAGCATTTCAATGTGCTCTTTTGTAACATTTTTCCTTGTTTTACAATTGGTACTGCTATTTTCTATTTCATCCATAGGGATGTATAAATTGAAATTAATAATAATTATAAATAATTAAATTTAAATCTAGAAAAATAAATAACTAGATAAATAATTACTAAGAAATAAGAAAAAATTGTATGTTCAAATTGCTTTTTTACAATTGCTTTTGTAAAACGCATATAAGAATGAATAAATGCGCATATAAGAATGAATAAAGGCGCATATAAAAATGAATAACCCTGTAAATATTTTGTAATTAGTGTAATGACGTCATTGCACGTTCTATAAAAACTCTAATGGGATAATTAGATGAGCTCATATACAAGAGTTTGGGTTTCTGAATCAATCTGCATCTAAATGTTTTGCCTATGATGTGGTCACCCTTATAAACTGTTGCTACTGGTATTGTTGCTACTGGTAAGCTGAATAATTATTATTGCTACTGCTACGCTGAATAATTAGGCAGTTTTAACAAGCGCTGTGTCATTCGGCTACTGCAAGTGTGACTTTTTGGTATATGGTTTTTTTCTTTTGAGTGCAATTTTTTATGTGGCATCATTTATATTAGTATATATTTGATAGTAATTGGTTTAAATATTAAAAACGGAATGTAAAGAGGTTCATTGGTCTGTTTAGATATAATTCATTTTTAAAAACACTATTTACCAAATAAACAATTAGTGTGCATCATTTAATCTGATAGTATATCTGTTTTTAATGCCGAAAAAGGTAAGTTTAAGTTTGAAATTAATATTCTAGGTTATTATAAAAAGTCTAAACTTATCTAAGGATACGTTTCAAGTTCACTAACAAACGAAGGATACGTTTTAAGTTCACTAACAAACGATGAATACGTTTCAAGTTCATTAACAATCTTTTCAAGTTCACTAACAAACGAATTCTTTTCAAGTTCACTAACAAACGAAGAATACGTTTCAACTTCACTTACAATCAATTTTTTCAATCAAGGTTTTCGCTAATTTTTCAAAAAAGGAAAAGTATATCGTGGCCTACATAAATTACACGGCCTGATTTGTTACATTTTCCGTAAAAAATTAAGAGGCCAGTTTTTTTACGGCTCAAGTATAAAAACTTAAATTTTGTTATGGTTAAGAGTCTTGTTTGCACTATAATTGTTTTATTTTTATTTTATTAAAATGGTTTAATATTAGTTAGATTATCTTTGATTACTTCAATTATTTTGTGCTAGATTTTCTGTTAACTGATTGCCTGCTTCAGTTTATTCCAACAACACAGAATACTGAAATAGGCTTCCAGATAACTATATCAACCCATACCAACATGCTACTAAAAATTATCTCTCATGTTGCTTAGATTGCCTAAAACTCTCCATTGAGCAAAAAAATAGTGTGTAGTTTTGTATTTTTTATAATAAAAGGAAGAAATACATTTTTGCTAGAAATGTTTATTTGTCTTTTTTGGAATTCTTTTACTTGATCTTTTTTAAATGAATATGTAATTTTTTTTTGCAAATTACTATAAAAAATATAATAATTTTTTTTATATTAATTTGGAATACAAAACGAGATCTATATTTGATTCCCATTTTTGGTGGTTTTTATTTGTAAAATTGAAACAGCTAGATCAAATCTTTAAAATTTGTTTCGCAAATTTTTATTTAAAAAAGAATGGCTGCAATGTTTTATTAGAATAAGAGAAATAACATAAAATACTAAAAAGATGATAAATAAAATTAGACAGAGGTTGAATTGAATTTATAGGTTCTTCTCTTTATAAAGTAATGTTTATTGATCATAAGTTTAACATCAAAATCTTTTTGTTAATTTTTACCATTATTAATTGCTTTAGTATATTAACCTAATGGTTCAAATCAAACAAACTATCTTTGAACATCAATAAATCCAAATACACTTTGTTCCATCGTCTTCATAAAAAACAAGATATTCCATTAAAACTTCCTGATCTTTTTATTGATAACGCATTATTAAAAAGAGAGCAATCAATAAAGTTTTTAGGTGTGGTTCTGGATGAAAATTTAACCTGGAGGGACCACATAGGTCAAATTGAAAATAAAATATCAAAAAATATAGGTGTTTTGTATAAAGCCAAGCAGTTTTTAAATCTATCTTGTTTAAAAAACTTATATTTTTCTTTAATTCATTGCTACTTAAATTATGCAAACGTTGCTTGGTGCAGCACAAACGAAACAAAAGTAAAAAAACTGTTTAGAAAACAAAAACAGGCTATAAGGATAATTACAAACGTAGACCGTTTCTCTCACACTAAAACATTATTTAATAAACTTAATATTCTAAATGTATATAAACTAAACCTTTACCATATTCTTATCTTCATGTTTAAACTTGATAAAAAAATATCACCAATGTTATTTATTTCACTTTTTGAAAAATAAACCACATATACCCTACCAGATTTTAAAAAAACAATTACATTCAATTTAAAACACATTATTCAGCAACCAAATTCTCAATTGCAAATCGAGGTCCTAAGCTGTGGAATACAATATTAAATAATGAGCTGAAATCTAATTATTCTTTAAACCAGTTTAAAACAAAACTTAAGCAATTACTGATGATACATGAAAATGAATTAAAGTTCTTCTAAAAAGCTTTTTAAACTAGCAAACAAAAACAAAAATTAACCTACTAATTACTCTTTAATATTATATTTAATATTCTAAACAACAGTCTGCTATTGTAAATGTATTTCTTATCTTATAAGTTTTGAATTTACAAACGATTTTTTAAGTTTTATTATTTGAAATACTAATTACTAAAAATATTGTAAAATTTTATAATTTCAATTTTTATTAAAAAAAGTTATTGTAAATTCTTTTTGTAATATTAATACTTATATATCATCTTATTTTACTAATCAGTTCTTAAATATAAATACTCTTTGAATTACTAAATATTTTAAACGTTATATATTTTATTTTTTACATTTTGTTAAAATATTTTATTTGATGAATATGCATTTTTTTTTTTGGGGGGGGGGGGTGCTTAATGATAAGATGAATTTTGTCTTCTTCAAGCCCCAGTCATGTAAATATTTGTTTTTATAAATTACGAGTGTAAATTATTTTCAATCGGCAAATACAATACTAAAAAAAAAAAAAGTATATATATTTGTGCTATCTTCAGAATGCTGACAGTAGTATTTATGTAGACAACTAAGCAATATCTTGCATAATATTTTTTAAGGATTATCAAAATTCTAGTAAATATTTTCTGAGAAAATCTGCCAAAATCTTTTTACTTATGCACATTTCTAAAAGGCTCACAAAAAGTCTACTATTGGGCATTTAACTATACTTAATAAAACCTAGCTCCAAAGGATCTTTTTGTAAATTAACTATAAACGAATGTTAAGCCTTCTTCAAGGAAATCATGCATAAGAAATACAATTGCGTGTAGTGTTGTAATTAGAGCACAAGAAGATTGTTTGGTTAATGTCAGGTATTTATCAAATTTTATTTTGATCAAATTTCAGTACAATTTGCAATTTCTCTATAAAGTGTGGGTTTGTTATCACCTTTCAAGGCAGCATTGCTGATTTTGATTAGATGAATTAAGTTTCTGCTTTGAATTAAGTATGATAAATAACTTATAAAACAATGATAATTGTGCTGCGTTATTTCTTTCAAAAAAATAACTCTAAATTAGCAGTTGTAGCTGCAGTTGTTTTGTCAAATATTGTCGATGTTGACAACTTGTTTGTTGCTACCAAAATATGTGATTTGATAATTAATTTTTCTTGCTTTTTCTTGCTTGTTTAATAAGTGATCTTTTTATAAACTTTAAGAAATATATTCCCTGCAATGTAATCAGCAGTACTTCAACAAGAAGAAAAAAACAAAAACCGAGTTTATCAAATAACAAGTATATTTTAAACACTCCTTTTCTAAACTAAATGATATATTAATAATTTTCCATCTCCAGTATATGCTTTATGAAACTATAAAAATGCATTAACATTTGTAAAATGGTTATCGGTAACAATAGTTCTTATCTTAAATTCAGATTGGTGCATTGAGGTAATACACTCATCAATTTTTTTTTCAAACAATAACCTGTTATGTAAACTTTATGTTATGATTTTAAAACATAAGAATAAATTTTTGAAGCCCTACAATCATAATAACAAAAACAAATTCTTTATAAAGATTGTTTTCTCAATATTCATCAAAATGTTTACCATTTTGGGCTGCTTTTTGGATGTACACCTTACCCACAAGAAGCAAATAATCTCTTAATACCAACTTTTTGTCAATGATTTTTCTAATATATTATAGTTTTTCAATTTGTATTTTTTACCACTGCGAAACCATTTAAATAAAGAAGAATGATAACCATTTATTTGGCAATGAAAAAAATTGGATTTTTATTAACAGCTTTTGACTCCAAAACAGTGGGTATGCCTGATATTTTTTGGCTACTGTAAATAAATAGCCTGATTTGTTACATTTTAATTTCTGTATGTTTGAGACATGCAGCATAATAAAGTATTTACAATGCAAAGCCTTGTTTTGCAGTGTAAATAATTTAAATAAAAGTTTATGTTTTCTACTTAATAATTGCAATTATAATAAATACAAAATTACAAACCTTTAAAATTATTTCCAATAGAGAGTTGTGGGTAGTTTTAGCAATATGTAAGATTATTTTTAGTAGCATGTTAATATGTGTTCATATAGCTATCTGAAAGCCTATTTCAGTATTCTTTGTTATTGGTATAAACTGAAGCAGGCAATCAGTTAACAGAAAATCTAGCACAAAATAATTTAAGTAATCAAAGATAATCTAACTAATATTAAACCATTTTAATAAAATAAAAATAAAACAATTATAGTGCAAACAAGACTCTTAACCATAACAAAATTTAAGTTTTTATACTTAAGCCGTAAAAAAAACTGGCCTCTTAATTTTTTACGGAAAATGCAATAAACCAGGCCGTGTAATTTAAGTAGGCCATGAGTATATATATAATAAGGTATAAAAATATAACAATTTATTTTCAAAATTCTATTAAAATTTAATATCATTTTATTCAGAAAAAGATTATCTACAACGTAATTGAACCAAATTTGCAAATAAACCATTTTATTCTACACTATTTTACTCTTAGTTTGCTGATGAATAGTATTTATAAATATTTATGTTACAACTTTTCACTTACTATATTTACAGCCATCAGAATTCCAGGTGGAGTATAAAGAAATCCAAAGTTAGGCTTTATCTGTATCTTTGACACTGGCGCAATTTCAGCAACTTCAACGGTAGCTTCAGACATGCCTAATAAACTTTATATATAATGTAATAAAAATATAGAAAGTAATACAAAAACAACTCATTTTTAAAAATACCATAACGAAATATAATACTACTAGAATATAACTCGTAAAATAACACGACACACTTATTGTAAAAACGTTTTTTTAACTAATAGTTGAGTAAATTTGTGTTGAGGATGTGAGGTGGATATTTGGGTCGTATATATTTTGGCTCAAACTTCAAAAATTCATTAATTTAAAAAAAATCTAGAATCTGTATTTTTATCATTTTATTTATTTTTATTATTTTTATTTAATAAAAGAAGTTAAAAAGTTGTTTTATTTATTTTTTGCTTTTTCTTGAAAAAATTATTTGTCATTGTAGTTGATAAGAAATTATTTTATTGTTTATTTTGTGATATTCTTTTGAGAACAATAATTAACAGTGTTTAATTCAGATTTATTAAAGATAACATCCGATTATAGTTTTCATATATAGTTCAAAATTTTTATGTAAATTAGTTACGCTACAATTTTTTTTTGTAAATAATGGTTTTTCTGTGTAATGTTGCAAAAATATTTCTGTCATTGTTACTATTAATAGTAAACCAATAGAAACTGTGTCTTCGAACCAATGTATTTTTTTCTCATATAAAAAAAGAGAAATAACAAAGGTAAAACTTATTATTTATATGGAGGCCACTTTGACTTCTACACCCTCAAAGAAATCGAGCAAAAAATTTTTATAACAATATTAAAGGTCATGTAGAAGATAAGGCAAACAGGAGCAAAAAACACATTCTAATCATACGTTTTGATATCATGTGAAACATTTAGATACCAAGAGTATATATTCAAAATAATAAAAAAAAACATTCAGCTGTCAGTAAACCTACTCTTTAGACACATTATAAAAAGCGTAAAGCTAGATCTTTATGTTTACCATCAAGGTAAAGCTTGCAAAAAACAAGATGACATTTTTTCCGTGTTGTTGGACTAACTAAAAAATGTTTTTGTGCCTAAAAAGTACACATACTACACTTGCACTTAGACAAATATTGGGGACAGAAAAAAAGCCATGTTTTGTTGTGCTTACAGTTAGTACTACTGAATTTAAAATGTTTAAAAAGTTTGAGCAGCTTTATCTTGTTAGAGGCCACTTATATCATCCTTGCAACAGAGATTTTGGAATCTTAAAAAAGAATTAAAGCAAGAATAACAGCTTATGAAAGAAAGAACATCATGAGATGCTATTTATTGACCATTTTTATTTAAAAATGATAATAATTATAGTAATATTGTTATTTTTAATTTTAACTTTAATTTAATTTAAAATTTATATAATAATTTAACTTAAATAATAATTTAATTAATTGTTTAATTTAACTAACAATTTAGTTAATAATTTTATTTAATTAACATTTAAATTTAAATAATAATTTAATAATTCATTTAATTTAGTTAACAATTAAATTCAATTAATAATTTAATTAATAACTTAAATTATTTAATAATTTAATTTAATTAATTATTTAATTCAATTAATAAGTTAATTTAAATTTAATTTAAATTTTAATATTAAACCTTAAAATTGCAGGTGTCTGTTACACAAAAATAATTTTCCCAAAAACTTTGATTTAATATGCTTTCCATAATAAAATGAGGCCAGTATATTTTTTTAACAAACATTATGTTATCAGAACTGCAACGGCTTTATAATTTGCAAAACAGATTTCTGTTTAATCCATTTAGCTGCTTCATCCAATCATTCTATTTTATCAATCCAGCTTGCTTGCGGGAGACATTTTTGCAAGCTTCACTTTAAGTATTTTTGAAAATAGTTTCACATTGGTGAAACTACTGAAAATCTAATGTTCAAAAAGTTTGAAGCATATCGGAATGGAACAAAGTTTTTAAACTTCTATAAAGTTGCAGTTAATGTAATATACTTAGAAAAATAGATAAAAAAATTGCTCAATATATCAAACATGCGTTTTTAGATATATTTTATTTAAAAGGCGATTATAAAGAGTAAGTGGAACTCATCTACCTGTACCAACCCAAATGTCTAGGTATAAATTTTGATTGGTCTTTCTCCACAATGTATGTGCACGTTCTATTGTTCAGTTTTTATATTGTTTGAAAATCTAACTTTTGATTAACTAATTACTTTCCGGTTTTTCTAGTTGACTGGTTTACAAATTAAAATTATTTTTATCCTGGTTAATTTTAAGTAAACAAAGTTTACAGTCAGATTTTGTGCATTCTGTCAACAAGGAAGAAAAAAATTAAGATACTATTAGTTATTTAGCAAAATAGAGATTCAAAACGTTCAAAAATGTGAAAACAACTCAATGTTGTAAAAGGAATTCGGGTAATTTAAAATCATAATATCTAGATATTACATGTATTTTTTGAAAATTGTTTTACTTATAAAGTTGAAAATTATATGTTTTATTTCCTAAACTTTCTATTAATCTAAGTGCTTGTAATTTATCAAAATAAAATTGTTTAATTAAAACACGTTCTAGGGTCGATGTTATAAAACTTTTTATCGGCGTAAAATGCTACCGGCGGATACTTTACTTTAAGAACTTTTACAGCCGCAAATTTAGAGTCGTAAAATATTTTTTAATTAAATGTTATAAAACTTTTCCGGATCAAATTTAAAGATATCTATTTTATTTTCAGAAATGTATCTTCCATATCAATAACATTCTCTAGACAAAAAAGTTTGTAAAAAACAGTCTAAACCACAGGTTTCTACAACTTAATATTCATATCTTAGGATCTTCAACAAAAACTTTCCTTTGAATTCTCCTCCGGAACATTTTTCAACAATAAATGTTTTTGCAGTAGAAAGTTCATCGCCGATAATTTTTGCAAATATTTTATAAGACTGACAAAATATTTTTACGCCGGTAAATTTTACCGCCAGTAGCATTTTACGACGGTAAAAAGTTTTATAATATTGACTCCTGCTCAGCTAAAGTTGTAAAAACGTAATGTAAAATATTATAAAAGGTGTAATGTAAATACATGTGTAATATTGTAAAAATGTAATTTAAAATGTTAAGTATGATATGAAAATTAAATCATTACTTTGTAACATTAAAAAAAGAAGAAGAACCGCGGGAATACCCCGGTATTGTATCTGTATTAATACAAGGAAACTTATATTATTACTGAAACATTTTTTACTTTAAATGCTGACGCAGACACTTGTGCATAAAATTATAAAAGAATTAAACATCAAATATACAGCAAAAATATAAGCAAGACATTAGTTTTGAAAGTAATTCTGTTATTTTCTATCACTCTTATCTCACTGATCATATCTGATTAATCTTATTATCCTTTCGTTCAATTTTCCTTGCTTCAGCTAATTTATCTATTTTGTCGTTTATTATTATTATTTTTTTAAACCTTTCTTGATACAAACGTCTCTCAAATTTAAAAACAAAAATAATAATTAAAATAAAAAAATAATTGCAAGCTTGGTTTCTTTAAAGTGCAACATGAGTTTTACGCAAAAATGCGATTAGTAGAAGTTTTAAACTGCCAAAATATAAAGACAAAAAGTATGCTAAAATAATAATACAAATTATTTAATATTTATATATTATTTAGCAATTTTAATAATTTCAAAGAGACACTAGATAGAAATTTTTTTATTTTTTCAAAATTTTTTTATTAAATAATACAAAAAACGTTAAAAAAATATAAAAGTTCTTTAGATTGTCTCTATAAAATCATCAAAATTGCTAAATAGTAATAAATATATAACTAATTAAATTATTATTTGTAAATTTTTTGTCTTATTTTGACAGTTTATAGCTTCTACTAAACGCATTTTAGCATAAAACTTGTTGTATTTTAAATAAACCAAGTTTGTAACTATTTAATCTTTTCTTTATTATTTGAGAGACGTTTGTATCAGTGGATCCATTCGGAACTCCGTCTCGACGGATTTTTCTCGGTTTTTCGGAGTTTCGGAGTTGGAGACTAATCGAGAAACTTCGACGAAACTTCGACGAAGTTTTTAGAGAATACCAATTTTTTATTCGTAAAATAATTGAATTCTTATTTTATTTCTACGTGGTTTTTACAATTGTAAATTGTAATTTTAAAAATTGTTTCAAATGTAAGTGTGGTATTGTGGTTTATCCTCCTCCGGCTAGTTGCCATATAGAGGCCACATTACCACGGTACTGCAAAGACAGGTTCGGCTCCCCAAGGAGCGTCATAACCCGCTCTACGGACCGAGAGTAAAGTGAGTTTAGGAAGAACGAAGATATGTTAGAGTGAAAGACAGAAGTAGTCGTGTTAGAAAGACAGCATAGAGAAAGCGGACAGGATTGCACTCGATGTTAGGATGTGCAATAAGTTGACATTGGGATTAAAAACACAATGACTAAAGAATGTTTTTATTGCAAGTTATTGTAAGTGTTCTCTTCGTTTGTAAATGTAAGTGTTCTCTTCGTTTAATAACAACACTAATATACATCGCAAAGCAATTGGTAATGCACAGTGGGCCAGGTGATGGTGGTGAAAAAAACCTAAAAAAAAGTTTATTCTATTCAAAACCATATATTAAAACATGCTCATACTTTTCCATTGTACTATTTCAAAAACTCTTTTGTGTATATTAGTATCTTTTTAGTATTAGTATTTTTTTAAATCCACAAAAATCAATTGCTGTATAATAAAATGTAATGCGTAATAAAAAACAAGAATTTTTTAATTTTTAAGCAAAGATATAATAAACAGTAACTTTTAAAATATTATGCGAATGTGATATTAGTTTATATATTTTAACTACTCAATAGTTTACCTTTACAAAAAAAAAGTTTAGTCAAGATCATTATTTATAATATAAACAAAGACTGGTCGTAAAATAACGAGGTAAGTTTTTGACATATAAAACATATAAAACTTTCATTTTATACAAGTAGTGTCGTATTTTGTATGATCAAAATAATTTTGTCCACCATAAGTCTAAAATCCGGCCCACTGAGCATTGTGGCAAAATTGTGCAATAAAATGTTGTCAGTGAAAATAAATAATAATAATAATTAATGTTTAATTATACTTACCTATCAGAATAAATAACTTAATAACTTAAAATGTGATAACTTTTCACAATTAAAATAAAATTAAAAACAAATATGGGAGGTCATTATCAAATTGATAATTTTTCTTTCATAGAAAAAAATGGTTTCGGAAGCGTGGAAGTACTTTAATAAAGTTGTGGTAAATGATAAGAAGTATGGAGATTGCAAAAAATGTCATAAAAGAATCGCTTGTCCAGGAAGCAGCACAAATGGCCTTATTGGACACGTCAAAAGTTGCGAGAAAATAGATTTAAAACCATTCAGTTCCAGACCAGTTTTGACTAAAATGTCATTAAACGATCTTCTTGCCAAGTTGACAGCTCTTGACGGGTATTCGATTAGGTCCATAACTCAATCTGAAACACTAAGAATGCTTTTTGAAAATTACGGGCATAGTTTGCCTAAGATATAACTTATTAGATATAACTTGTTCGTTAAAAAGTTGTGATAAAAAAAATATTTATGTACTAAGAAATATAAAAATATAAATTTTTTAAAATTTTATTATGAATTATAAATCGAAATATTTAAAATTAAAAAATAAAAATACAAGAACAATGTTTAATTATCAAATAGAGAGTTTAATTTTTTTATCAAATAGATAGTTTAATTTTTATAACAAAATATTATCGAAACTCCGATTTTTTCTCGACTCCGACGGAGTTTTTTCTCGATTTCTCTCGACTCCGTTTTTTCTCGATTTTGGATCCTTTGGTTTGTATTAAGAAAGGTTTAAAAAAATATATATATTAAAAGACAAAATAAATGAATTAGATGACGCAAGGAGGATTGAAAGAAATGACAATGAGATTAATCTGCATTAGTTAATACAAAATACAAGTTAATACAAAAATCTTTAAAAAAATAAAAAATTTATTGAAAGTTTTAAAGGGTGACACTATGAAATCATAAAAGTTTCTAAATTTAAATTTTTGTTACAACACTTTAATTTCTAAGATAAGTACACATGTTCAACAACTCATTGTTTTCTAATTGTCTAAGTAGTTTTGTCTTTACAATTTCAACTTCCTCTAATATTTAATGAAAGTTGATATTAAAAAACTATTAGATTATAATATACAAGAAAACATGCTCATGATTTAATATAATATGAGGAACTTTAATAACTCCATGAGTACATTACAATTATGGTAGAGACTTTTATAAGTTTTTAGTAATTTTTGTTTAAAGCGATTCAAAAACTTTTATCTTGTCAAACTAAATTTATTTATTGAACTTGAATTGTTTTTGTTTACTTCGTGAATAGTGTCATGTTCAGTATTTCTTTTTTTTGACAAATTTCTAAACTTTACATGGTTTCCAACCCTTTCATTAGGACTTTAAATAATTTTGATGATATCACCGATTGCAAAACTTAAAGCGTGTCTTTGTGAATGCATGTATAGCATTTTCAGCTACTATTATATTAGTTACTACTTAAACTCAGTTCTTTGTTATCCCTTTTAGAAAGTATAAGCAACTGATGATATTTTTTATTTTTCTTTAATTAGTCACGGTTAGCACGGATCCTTATAATGCCTACCTATCTGTCCCAAGAATGTCACTTATACGGTAAGTTAGCGTACTCACCAAGGTACCCTGTGATGCAAATTTTGAAATCATTTAGTTTTGTGCGTGGAAAATAAGTTTATTTGAATTCGAAATTAAGTCAAATTTTGACTTCATAGTCCGCCAATAAAAACACTTGTAGAATTTGAACCACATAATATAACTTGAAAAAATTAATGCAAATGTAGCCAATAATCTTATTAAACTCTGGACAAAATTTCAGCCTGATTGGATGACTGGAGTAGGATTTATTGCAGTTTTAGTTGAAGTTTTGTCAGTTTTTTGCTACTTATACCTCAAAGCGTTACCAATTACTTTGAAGTTCGGTCACTATTTTTAAAATAGCGGTTACCTGAGTGTTCTACTATGTAACACCAACAACTTTTGTTTAATTATTTTATCGGTACATGTACAGTTTTCATTTTACAGACCAAAATAGTGGTTTGCTACTTAAAGTATGATTTAAATTGGCCAATGCCAATGGCGTTGACACGGCCTTCATAGTGGAATGGGTCAACCCATCAATTTCTAAAATAAAATCTATAGTTTCTAAAATAACTGCCTATATTTCTAAAACAAAAGGTCCTCGGAAAAAAAAAAGTGGGCTGGCCATGGTTCCCTTGACGGCCATGTGTGCATAGCGTGAATATACCAACATTTCCTAAAGTATAAACAACTGCCAGAATGCAAAAAAATTCTAAAAAAATGCTTAAGAAGGATTTCTAGGGATACCTACATAGAAAATAAAAATATTTATTTATCCGAAAACAGAACAACTGTGAAAAAATCAAATATTTTTTATATTGACAATGATAATTGACTTAAAAAGTTTAAGACATCTGACCAATCCAAAGTTTGGAGGGCCAGACGGAGGAAAATTACTCTAACTGAATAACTAATTAGGTTTAAAGATTGTTTTGAAATAAAACAACCCGCGTGACAACGATCATTAGTTTAATAAGTGTGACAATTATCAATAATGTGATTTCCTTACAAGTAAGGTTTAAATTATAAAAAATTGTTTATAGTTTAAACAATTGTTTCCTGGTAAGGAAAGAACTATTCAAGAATTATTTCCTTGTAATTTTATACTACCTCAATTAAATTAAGTAAATATTTTCTTTATTTTAATAGTTTTTAATTAATAATATTTGTTACAGTTTTATATGGATTGTTATCAAATATAAATTTAGGTCAAGTTTTGTAAAAGGAAGAGTTTGATTTAGTAAAGTCAAATTTAGTGAATTGCCACGATGCCAAATCAAGCAAAGAATCATGATAAAAATCAAAAGTTTGAGTGCTTGCTCTGTCTAAAAAAATGTTTAAGACAGCTTTGCAAGCTGAACAAGACCAAGATCAATATCAGTGATACTTGGGTATCAAAAGGGTTCTGCGAATCGTGTAGAATTACTTTGCACAGAAAACAAGAGGAGAAAGAAGTTGCACTCCCTCCTTTGTTTGATTTTGAGTCAATGCAAGTGAGACCTAAAACAAGATGCACGATGTTGTTGCCTAATTAGTCGTTCAAAGCTGCAAGAAAAACATCCTCTTATAGAGCAAATCACAATTGAGAAAAACCAAAATTGCGTTGCAGCAAATGCCTCAGTCCTTTAGGAAAAGGTTTGCTCCACCAATGCTCTCAAATAATGTTAAGGAAAAACATTCAATCTTTAGCAGCAAAAGGTGCCAAATCATCCGAACAAATTGCGTCTCGAGTTATTTCTAATAAAGAATTATCTCCGCAAGAAACTATTCTACTGAACTATTCTAAAGCATCTGGCGGGCCTCCACTTACAATTACCCCTGGTAAATATTTATTATTAAATAATTTTAACATATACCAGGTATACCGGTATGAAGTGAGCGTCAAGATACAAATGTCTCGATAGGGAACATTTGTTGTGAACAAGCCTTTATTTTTTTTTGTTTGTTTGCTATGACATCTGTGAAACATATTTAGTATACATCAAGTCATTGAACAGACAACATCATATTTTTTCATCGTGTTAAAAATGTCGAATTTTGTACCGGAAAGTGATGATTTGCGGAAAGCATTAATTTTTTGTTTTCATTTGAAGAAAAGTGCTGCAGAGTCGCATCGAATGATTGTCGAGGCATATGGTGATCATGCTCTATTAGAAACAACATGCAAAAAATGGTTTCAACGGTTCAGAAATAATGATTTTGATGTGAGAAATGAAGAACGTGGAAGACCACCAAAAAAGTTTGAAGACACTGAATTGCAAACGATATTGGATGGAGATGACACTTTGAGTCAAAAGCAAATGTTGCTTGTTGCACAGCAAACAATTTCTGACCGTTTAGAAGCTATGGGAAAGATCCAAAAGTGTGGAAAATGAGTGCCACATGAATTGAATGAAAGACAGATGGAAAACCGAAAAAAAACTTGAGAAATTTTGCTTCGAAGACACGAAAGAAAATCGGTTTTGCATCGGATTGTTACTGGCGATGAAAAATGGATTTATTTTAAGAATCCTAAACGGAAAAAATCATGGGTTAATCCGGGACAACCATCAACATTGACTGCAAAACCGAATCGATTTGGCAAGAAGAAAATTCTGTGTGTTTGGTGGGACCAGAAAGGTGTAGTGTTCCACGAGCTCCTAAAACCTGGTGAAACCGTCAATACTGATCGCTCCCGACAACAAATGATCAATTTGAACCATGCATTGATCGAGAAACGACCAGAATGGGCCAGAAGACACGGCAAGGTAATTTTGCTCCATGACAATGCACCTGCACACAAAGCAAAACCGGTTCAGGATACAATCAAAACACTTGGCTGGGAGCTGCTACCCCACCCGCTGTATTCACCAGACTTGGCTCCTTCCGACTACCATTTGTTTTCATCGATGGGACACGCGTTGGCTGAGCAGCACTTTGATTCCTACGAGGAGGTCGAAAATTGGGTGTCTGGTTGGTTTGCTTTAAAAAACAAACAATTTTATTGGCGTGGTATCCACAAATTGCCAGAAAGGTGGTCAAAATGTGTAGAAAACAATGGCCAATACTTTGAATAAAATATTTTATACTTTCCCATTAATAATTAGTGTTTTATTTTCACAAAAAACGCTTATTTCATACCGGTATACCTGGTATATTGAAATAAAGCCTTGACTATTTAGAAATAACACTAGATAGATTTCAAGAAGTATATTTTTGACAAGTTTCTAATTTCTTAAAAAACGAATAATTAGAAAGTTTTACACAAACTTTATTTTTTAAGTTTTAAACAAAGTTTATTGTAACTATAAAATATGTATATTTTGTTTTTAGGTCAAAGTAGTGTGCAAACACCTTCAAGTGCTCCAAAACTGACCACTGTAGCCCTTGTAAATGTGCAATTAAATACGGGCCTGTTAAACAACGGATTTAAGAAACTTGTTAAAACTATAAACAAAACATCAAGCAGCAAGATGGTAGAGCGAAGTTTCTAAATGAATTTTCTAAGACTAGGTCAACAATTAAGCGATTTCTTCAACTGCAGCGACTTAAAAAACCACAGACGAAAAAACAGATTTGAATAGTTCATGTTGTTGCTCACTGCAATGATTTATCAAGTCTTGTGAATCATTTTGTCCAGTCTCGCAAAAATTCTGGTGGCTATTTTGTTAAGCTCAAAATTGATGGTGGCAAAGTTTTTCTCAAGTTTTGCCTAAGCATTGTTGATACTGAGTTAATGGATGAAACCAGCTCACCGCACCAACAAAAACCTCTTACTCAAAGGACTGGTAAAGACACTGGAGTTAAGAGACAAATTATTGTTGGGGTTTTAGAAGTCTTTGCCAGAAACACACTCCAATATTGAACAAATCTGGTCACTGATTAATGCAAATGGAGTTAGTTGCAAATATAGTTTGTGGTCTTCAAACTTATTATAGTACGCACCCTTGCACCTGGTGTGACGTCAAATCTAATTATCTTGCCAAAACTGTAAACTTGCAAACACTGGGATCAATTAATTCAAGCCTTGAGTTTTTTCAGTAATCTGGCGGGGTTGTTGCTAATGCAAAGTTGTTTGGTAATGTCATTCAAAAACCAATCATCTGCGGGCCTGTCAATGTTCTGATTTTGGAAATCTCCTCTTAGGAGTTGCCAACCATTTTTTCAAGATCCTTAAAACTGCTTGGATAGAAGCTGTTTAGTGGCCAGCTGCCCTCCACATTTAACTGAGCCCGTATCACGTTGGCCAGTTTGAGGTAACTGAATGCAGAAAGCTTCTAAAAATATGGATATGCTGCAGCAACTTGCTGAGACAAACATGGTTCCCAATATTGTGTGCATAATTGAAGCATTCAAAAGTTTCAATTTTGTTGTCAAGGCTTGCTTTGGATAGACCCTTTAGTTGGATTTCGCTGGAAAACTTGAAAATTTCAAAAAGTGTTGCCTAATGATTACTGGTGCAAGCGTAACACCCAAAATTCAAGCCGTCTTCTACCACATCAAAGATTTTATCAGTCACAAAGGATCCCCCTTGGGGCTCTATAGTTAACAAACTGTCGAAACTTCTCATCAAGATTTTTATGAACATTGGTCGAGGTATAAGCGAAATAATTATCATCCAGAGTACAAAGAAAGAATGTTGCGCTGCATAATTGATCTAAACAGTAAGCATCTTTAAAGAACATCATTTGAGTTATTAGAAAGTAGACTTATATTTTTAAACATCATTTGAGTTATTAGAAAGTAGATTTATATTTTACGGCATATAATGAATATTTTCACCATCTTTAAAAGTAGTATTATAGAGTATAATATTAAAAATAGGAATTAAAATAGTTAATTAGAATATTTTAAATAAATTAGAATAAGAATAATTTAAAAACTACCAACTACTCCATCGAAAGTATTGCAGAATAAAACCGCCTAGTCAAAAAATTTCTCAAAAAAGTTACTCCCGTAGAATACCACTTATTCACAAAAACCGTATATATTTTTAAAGAGTGTAAAAATAAAAATAAAAACTAAAGCATATAAAATCTCGTTTGCAATGTTTATTAAAAACAAATTGGTATTTTAAAATATAAGCTATAATTATAGCCCATATTTTAATTTTTTGTTTAGTTGTGAAAAGCAATTTGCCATCTTGCCCCCGTTTTTTCTTACTTTCCCTCTATATTGACTTAATTAAACTTAATAAAACTAAAAAATTACTAAAAGAAATAAAAATTTCTTTTTTGTAACACGTCGGAAGTTAAACCTAGAACCAAAAGATATATTTACAGATCATCAGGATGCTTTGACTTTGCTATTCGTTTCCACATTCAAAAATGCAATTAAATTTTTTAAATGTTAATGTTAACTAATAAACTAATAAAAAATAATGTTAAATAATAAACTTACATTTTCTGAAATTCTTCAAACAAATTTTGAAAATTGTTGTAAACAAGAAATAACGTATAAATGCGGAAAAATTCCGAAAATAAAAATATAGCAAATGAATCAATTTTCAATAAATAATTATATGTATACATTTATATC